TTGGTTGTGTCTTTGTGTCTTTATATCACTTCCTTTCTATCAGAATATATATATATAAATATATAAACATAGGTATATATAAAGATTGTTCCAATATGCAAACATAGGTGACATCAGGATAAGATTAGAAGATTTATACCATTGCACATCCAAAGTATGATCATGATTATGTGCATACATTTTTGCTGGATGCAGAATTTGGCATTGCTGGTGCAGGAGTCTGTTTACCCAGACACTGTGAGCCAATCAGTTTGGTACCCTAAGGCAAAAATTGTTGAGGGTGTGCTCGCTGGAATGGACCTGGATGCTGCCTCCCCCTTTCACTCACTCCTACTCCTTCATCTCAGACTCTGCCCGCCAGGGTCCTAGCTCCAAAAATAGCCAAGCACTCTGCTAAAGGGCCAAAGGCTAAATCACAGCAAGCAAAGAGACGAAAAAAAGAAGTCCAAATTATTTATAGTTTTAACCCTGCTGGTATTTTAATATAGAAAGAGTCTGATAGAAAGGAAGTGATATAAAGACACAAAGACACAACCAAATGAAGTCAGGGTATTTCCTTTCATAAGTCGCAATTTATTGAGTTAATTGGCACTAACAATTCGGTTTGTTTCCTTCAAAATAAATAATTCTAATCAACCTTTCCATGTTTGTGTGCCTGCCTGTTAACCAAATATCTTAAGAACTACTAGACACTTTAATGAACAAGCACAAAGTAATCATTGGATAAACATCTACAGCTAAGTTTTGAGGTACGCATGAGTCATGACGGCAGCAACCAACAATGAAACATAAGCAAGCAGTGCACCAAATGTCAATTTCCACCTAAGGATTTGAATAGTGAAGGTTTGAGTGTCTTTCTTGACTGGAAATAAACAAGGATTGAAAGTAAACCTTGAAGTTTTTGGTGAAAAGATATTCAAGTGGATAGGTGTTAAAATGCATAAAAAAAAGAGGTTGTTGTGTGTTTTTGTTGTTGACTGTGCGAGGTGGAGAAGAATGATGGATCATGGCGAGCTAATGGAGCAAATGAACAAACAGACTGACTGACAGTATTTCCAAATACCCCTTTTACGCTTGTGACGAGGGACAAAAAACAAAAATGGCTACAACCCAGTCAGTTTTACAGACACAGTACTGACCTTGGTGTAGTAGTAGCCCCACCCTGTTAAAAGAACCGAGCGCCCTGCCTACCAAGCACCCCCTCCCTCCACTCAACAACTGCTGGCGCTTGTGGTGTGCAATACAGACGCGCTAGCTACTGAAAAGCTACAGCCTGCCGTTTCCCCTCACGCTGAGCCGTCTACACCGCCTCTCCCAAAACTGTTGGTACATAAACGCGTGCAAAACAGATGTGTCTCCGTATCCATCCCCCACTCCCATTGACAAATATCACAGAAGATATGAGTGCCCTGCAAAGGCAAGTAAACTAGGGGAAGCACTGCATTACCATCATATATTGTGAATGCTAACAAATTTGGGCAAGGTCTTTGTTTCGTTTGTTTGCCACCAAGTATTAAAAGTATCCAATTTAAATTCATTCAATCATAGCAAGTACAAAAATGTCTTTTCTTCAGTCAGTTTACCATATACCGAGCTACAATTTGATGCTATAGTAGCTGAGAGTAATCCACAACACATACAGTACATTCATTCAACCTTTATTTATACAGGTTAGTCTCACTGAGTCATAAGGACTCATTTTCAAGAGAGACCTGTATTGCAGAGAGTGGTGAAGGAAGCACAGAAGTCTGTCTACACCTCTAGATGCAGGAAGAGCCACTGCATCATGAAGGACCCCACACACCCAGCACACACACTTTTTGCCCTGCTCCACTCAGGAAGGAGGTTAAGGAGCATTAAATGTAGAACCACTAGACTGAGGAACAGCTTTTACCCTGAGGCTGTTAGACTCATGAATCTCTAACCAGAATAATCACCGTGAAAAATCACATCATGTTGCTGCTGATTTGTTTCATGCTGCTGATCTGTTTCATGCTGCTGTGTTCATTCATGCTCATCTGCTCACACAGACTCATGTTTGTACAGCTGTTCAGTGTATTTTTTTTATTGGTTTTTATGCTATTAGTGCTTAGCTTATTTTTAGCTGATGTTTTTCTTAGTTCATGTCTTGGATCTTATTACTGTTTTTCTTTTACATTTTATTGTTGGATGTAACTGGGACCCTGTGTGCATAATTTCGTTCCACCACATGTGGTGCGAATGACAATAAAAAATATCTGTATCTGTATTTGTATACCTCTATACAATCAGCAGCAATGCTGTATATTAGAATCTGATGTGTTTGCTTTGCACGCTTTAGTCAATAAATTATATCAAATTTTAGTAGAAACTAAAACAATGAACCCCTTTACAAGCCTTTCTTACCAAGCTGAATGACATAAAGTAACTGCATTAATTAAAACAGTCTCTTAGACCGTTGTCCTGTTCTTTAGTATAAAACCTTCACATTTTCCCTCCAGATTCCATATGTTAAACTAACAAAGAAACTCAAGTAAAAAAAAAAAACTAAAAAAAAAAACTTATTTGTGAAAGCCACAAGTTTTTTCTGTTTTACTTTCCCGTTGTATTGAAAACAAAACAAAAAAAACCACAAAAGTAAGTTTCTTATAAAAGAAACCGTTGATTAATTCTGGCACAGTTGGCAGGGAACTTTCTGGCAAAAAATAAAAAATAAAAAAATCAGTTCAGTGAAGTGTGGAGAGGAGCTGGCTTTGCTGCAAACGCCAGTCACAGTTTGGAATAGCACAAATCACTATGCAACACTATGCTTGGATTTGAGTGTCATATGTGACAGTGTGCTGGGTGGGTGACATCTCACTGTACCGTGGGTGTGGGGGCTGCTGTGCTGGAGAGGAGCTGGGCTCGCCACAGAGCCAATCTCATTCATTGCCACACCGTCCTGGCGTCCTAATAGCACCTTGAGCGGATTCTGCTAAGGAAGTGTTTCTGGAGTAACTCACACTGTTTATTAATTATTCCAATAACCTGTTTCCATGTGCGATATTCAAATTCTACTTTTAAACAAGGTGTGTGCAGCGGCTGAAACTCGTGTTTTAGCACCACGTTTTGATTAACAGCCGTCGGTGATGGAGATTTATTGTGCCAGCATTTCAGCTCGGTGCCAGTATTCTCCTTAAATGAGACACATTTGTGAAGAGGAGGCAGCACAGGCCGGCAGAGCAAAAAGGAAGAAAATTAACAGCTTCAGGGCAAAGCCATTCTGTGAGAGTTCATTACAGTGCAAGTGAAAAAAAAAAAAAACTTCAATATTGGCTTAAGTCGGTAGTGTCAGGTCTGTGCACAGCAGTGGCACAACCGCTCTGAACGGGTTTTACAAAGGCATGAAAAGAGTCAGGTCGACATCTAAATTAAACTTGGAGCAGATCATGTGGAGGATTTTTTTTCCCTTGCAGCTTTAACGGAGACTAAATCAGTTAATGACATTAGCAAAAATGACCACGAAGCAAAAAGACAGTTGTGTTCCCCCCCGACACGAAACAGTTTAATTGCCTGTCACAAAAAACAAAAGGAGGGAGATAATAGTTCTGTCCGTTTGTCTTTCTGTTAGCAACAAATCTGATAAAGCACTAAATGGATTTCAATAAACATCTGAGATGATAATCATTTGATGCACATCCACACATCTGGAGTCAACCCAATTCAAGATGGACGCTACAGCTAAGAAATGGTCATAACTCGGTCCATTCTGCAGACGTTGAGCTGTAATTTGGTGTGGTAGTAGTTGAGAGTCATTCTCAAATTATACTTGAAGCACTAACTGCATAAGAGCTTTTCTAAAACTTTGCCATTAACTATGGCAGAGACAATGCTCTGTCAGTTAACAAAATATTTCATGAACCAGTGTGCAGATTTTAATGACAATTTCAAAAAGTGATCACTGGAATAAAATCTATAACTGACTTAACTTTTGGAGTCAACTCAGATCAAGACAGCCCCTATAATTAACTTGTATTAAGAAACACAAAATCACCATAACTCAGTCAATTTTACAGATATTAAACTAGAACTTGGTGTGGTAGTAGCAGAGTACACACTCCAACATAAACATTGAGGGTTACACATTGCATAGGATCTTTGCTTAAAACTTTCACTTCAAACATTGGCATTAACCCTAAAATATTTCATGAATCATTGGCTACATTTTAATAAAATTCTCACAAAGTAGTCATTGAACGTCCATCTACAACTCATTAATGTTTGGAGTTGACTCACTTCAAAGCAACTTACACAACATTAATCAACAAAAAAATTGCCATAACTCAGTCATTTGTAAAGTTACTGAGCTAAAATTTGATGTGGTATTAGCTTAAAGTCACCTTCAATACATATCTGTATTTCAAGCTGTAATGCTTGAAAATAGATCTGTGATTGTATATAATATTTAAAGGTTAACTGTAATAGCTATAACAGCATCATTTGTTATCATAAGATGATTTAATTTAAAACTCTGACGTAAAAATTACATTAAATTCCTTCAATAAATGCTCGGCCTATAATTCTGTAATTATTTGCATGGTTAGGGCGGTTTATGTAAAAATGTTATTTATGACTGTATATTTTGCATGATTATATTCTAAAGTATGCATAACTGGGAGGTAAGCGTGTATTTTATGTAGGGCAAAGCAGTGAAGATACCTCATTAGCATTAGGTGTTAGTGTAGCTGGCCTGAACCGTGTGGTGTGCAGCACATGGATGCATACATCTGCTACATCCGTGCATACTGATGATGTAGAAGCAGAAGATGTGTAAAAGGGCCTGTCTGTTTGTGTGCATGCGTGTGTGGGTGTGTGTGATTCATCACCTGTGGGTTCTCCGTCTCTGTGTTGCTTAGCAGGGGGCTCATCTGTATCCCAGGGTGTGAGCTGGTTGATGGGCGTCTGTCCCCACCTGACTCCCGGAGCCAACAGCAGTCCCGGGGTCTGGTTGTCTCCTGGAGACAAGCCAGAAACCTGCAGCACAGAAAGCCACAAGCAACCCTGCTGATTAGTGGAAGAGTAGAACTATATCTCAAGAAATATGGAAAGAAATTTAAACAAGAAATGTGATTTAAATAGATTTTTTTAAGGTTTGGCTCATTTTTTTTTTTTTTACTAAATTGCAGCTATACGAGAAGTTATTTAAGGACGAAAAGTGATATGTGGTGATGGAGTGTGGTGTATAATTAGCTTTAAGTGAGTGATGATTACAGCCTATATATAATGGGGACAAGAGGAAAAAGTCCAGTTCATCTCCTCAAGAGTCTCAACTTAAAGCAATATTTCATTCTGTTAATAAACACAGACTAGAATGCATCACCATTATTATTTCCCCCAGACAATTTGTACATCCTAATTCTGATAACTAGAGACATATCTGAGCCCAGATGAGACAAGGTGAATTTAGACTTTTGTATAGATAAGACAGGATCTGCTTACAGTTTTGCCATACACCATGGTTTTAAAAGCACAACATTATCTGTCCTTTTAATCCTGCGGTTTATTCCCCTGATGGCAAAAATAGTGCGGGGTTTCCTCCAGTTGTATGTACTGCAGAGTAGCGCTCCATTTGCTGTACGTGTTGCTGTGGTTCCAGTAGTAATTCAGAGCCAAAACCCACTCAGCACCAGCTCCTTCTGTTTCAACCACTCTGGTTCTGGCACCAAAAACAGAGCAGCTAACCAACTCTTGGCTGGTCTGTAGTAATGAACAACTTTTGACAGGAGCAGGGAGTGGACTCATGGGGCCATCAACTTTTTAAAATGACGTGAGCGCTATGTTTAAAAACACAGAATTAGTTTAGCTTTTACTTTGCTTACCGAATTTTTCGCTGTATAAGTTGAGGGTTTTTGCATAATTTACATGCCCTGCGACTTATACGCCAAAGCGGCACATTTATGTTTATTTCCCATATTAACTAGATTTTGGCTGAGATATGACTGTTTTCATTCATTCGGACTGAAATTATTGAACACTACCATTTTCACCGGCTAGATGGCAGTCGAGCAGTATGGCATGTCGCTGTATCATGTAATCATCAGGTTAAAAACGGCCATTAGACACAATCGACACAATCGGCTTGCCATAGTCTGACACCATCGTCTGCCTGGAACAAACGCCAAATCAGCTTCATTTCACTGCAAAGCCCAGGCAAAATGCAGCTTATTTGACCATTAAAGTGCATTTATTAAGTAAAAGTTCAACTGAGACACAACTTTACTATAAAGTTGAGCTAACAAATAATTGTTTTTAGGTGGTTATCTTGTTAAATTTCGACAAAATGGACAGCAAGTCGCCCTCTGTGTGTTCATGTTTCCGTTTATCGGCATTTGAAATGCAGCTGATTTGGCTGTCAAATTGCATTTATTAAGGAAAAGTTGAACTGGACACATCTTTACTATAATGTCGAGCAAACAAATAATTGTTTTTAAGTGTTAATCTTGTTAAATTCTTGTTAAAGTCCTCACGTGCATGCTACCACAACCGCCAATTGGCAGCCAATCGATTTTTGGCACAACACGGGCCCACATTTCCAGGTTGTCAGCGGTGACGTGCAACAAATGCGACGCGTCAGCATTGATGCATAATTGATGTGACATACACGACAAAGCAACGTATTTATGGATTTTTCCACTTTATTAGACACATTTGGACTGATGTGACTTATAGGGCGGTGCAACATATACGGCAGAAAATACGGTAGTTTAATACTTTGCCTCAACATGAATCAGGAGTCAAATAAGCAGTGGATCAACATGACCTCATAGTCTTTTAGCTTGTTAATTAACTTGTATAAGTGATACACCTAAATAGCTGAAACCCCTTTTTTAGCACCATTAAAGAGATCCTAAATGCCACCATTGGTCTTGTACTGCAGATTAGGAACTCTGAAAATAGATTAAGTGGTATATGTTTAAATCTATGCTTTATTACTGCACTAATATGCAATGGATATTTTGGTTCAAAGAGGTCACAAAGGTGCAGGACTTCAAGTACTTGGGGTCGACTGTCCAGGAAAATGGGGTGTGGTAAAGAGGTGAAAAATAGTCCAGGTAGGATGGAGAAAAGTTTCAGGAGTGATTTGCGACAAAAGCCTGGCAGCAAAGGTCAAAGAAAATGTTTACAAGACAGTGGTGAGACCAGCCATGTGGTATGGTCTGGAGACAGAGACATGGACACAAAGACAGGAGAAAGAAGTGGAAGTGGCAGAAATTAAGATGTTAATGTTCTCCATAGGAGTGACAAGGCTGGATAAGATTAGGAATGAGATCATCAGAGGTATAGCCCAGGTTGAACAAATGGGAGATAAAGTTCGAGAGACCAGACTGAGATGGTTTGGACATGTCCAGAGGAGGGACAGTGGGTATACTGGTAAAAGAACGTTAGAAATGCAGCTGCCAGGAAAAAGACAGAGGAGATATATGGATGCAGTTAGAGAGGACATGGAGGTAGTTGGAGTGAGGACAGAGTGAGATGGAGGAGGATGACTCGCTGTGGAGACCCCTGAAGAGGGAAAAAAAAGATAATTTGTGCTCAAAGTTACAACATCAAATGTCATACTGGCTTGAGCCAAGATGAGAAGAATGAAAAATGTAAAAAGAAAAAGGTGTTCGAATCCATTACATTGTCACAATACCATGTTTCCTTTCTTGCCCACGTTTTTTTTTTTACCGTTTTTACTTCTGTAGGAGAGTAATAAATGTTATCAGACCAGAGCGGGTTGATGAAAACACAGGGTCTTTCACCACTGAACCCCTGAGCACTATTCGTCTCTCACCACCTGAAGGTTGGATGCTTGAGTCTAACAACCGGGCAGGGAGAGGGCAGATCCAAGCCTTATTCCCCTGCTCGCCCCAGCTAGCCCCCTGAGTTAATAAGAAAGACCTGGTCACCGGGCCTTGCCTGCATCCTCTCGCCTGATCCCTCCATCCCTCAATTCTATTACCCCGCTACCACTGCACCTCGACCCGGCGTCCGCATCATCGAGCACTCCATCACGCATTCCAACAGCTGCGTCGGCAAAGCCTGCCAGACCGCCCTCACAGCGGCAAAACTGCCGACCGAACAATTTGGTTTGCAGCAAATTACCATGCAGCCTCACACATCGTGTCGATCCTGTTTCTAGGGGAGAAAAAAATAAAAAAAATAAAAATTCCCTCCCAGCTTGAAGACAGATTTATCAGAGCTTTACAGGGGCCTTCAGCACTTAAAGATATTACATGGTATTGATGCAGTGCAACATCTGCTGTCTAATGAACAAATTCATAAAAGCAGACAAGTTCAATGAGTGTCACTTACTTGATATATCTATACTCAAAGTTATCTGACAGTTTGTAAGTGCTGGGGGCAAAAGAAGAAGGGGGAAAAAGCAGCAGCTAAAGGAAACATGTCAAGGCAAAGCTGAAAACAGAGTGATGGAGAAGGAGCATGACGCTGGGTTTAGGTGGAGACAGACTGTCAGGTTTTTTTGTTCAGCTCAACCTGTCAACTAAATACAAGAGAAAAACCCCAGAAATGGTTCACTCAGAGAATGCCCAAAGCACACAATTGCATCCGACAGCCCTCAAGACCCGAGGAGACCATTTCTGAGTGAGGAGTTGTTTCTCCAGCCTCGTATTTGTTTTATTAAATGGATTTTACTCCTCTGTCCATTGACTCCTTTACATATTTCACTCATGCGCTTTTACTTTCATGTCCGAGCGGGAAACTTCTCATTAACTCAAAGCACACAAAGATGTCCTCGATCCCCGTTTTTATACTTGCACCTATTTTTTATTCTGGAAAAAGATGTACTATGATGAAAGGCAGTCCATCTGTAAAGGATCTGATGCTCCATGTAAAAGAGAGAATGGGGAAGAAAGGGTTTCAGTCGACGCCATCACACTGACAGCATATCAGCTTGGCTCGGGAACAATCCTGACTTGGAAATGATCAAGGTTAGAGAGGGAATAGAGACACAGGAAAATACACACTGGAAATGCAGGATTGTGAGCACACACACATACACACATGGTAAAAATACATCCAGCCAGGAGATATCAGGCAAAGGTTTTTTATTAAGATGGCAGACTTGCTTGCAGGCAGCCAGGAAGGTGCTGTAGGTTCTGGGACAGTAGCTGCCATTTTCTCTCAATTTTATTTCCTTTTCCCCCATTTTCAGTCCCCATCCTCCTCTCCCTGGCCACCCATTATCACCGGGCAGCAGATGGTTTCCTCTGCCGACAAAAACCATGCAGGAGAGGAGGAGGCGAGCCAGATAAATAATTTTTCGAGTCGAGCCAAGCCATTCTGTGTTTGCTGTCATGCTGACTGGGGAGGGTGTGTGTTCTGTGCAACCTCCATGCATATGAACTGAACACTGAAAGTGTGGCAATTTAGAGAGAGAGAAAAAAAAAAAGAAATGTTCACCAGAAGTTCAGTGTTCTTTGATGGAAAGCAACTTTTTTAAATTTCTGTCATAAATTTTCTCTGATAGTTATATTTGTGTTGTGATGCATGAGAAAAACTGTCAATCTAAAATTACGTGAGGCGTGATAAAACATTTTCCTTTTTTGAAAGTTTCATAAAAAAAAAAAAACATTTTTTATTCACAACAAACCAATAAATTGAATATTTCAAATTTAAAGAAACTATGAAGAAAAAATAAGTAAATAGTCCTTCGCTACTTCGTGGTTAGTTTATCGCGGACTTGGTCTATCGTAGTTTTTTTCAAAATAAGAGTAGACATGACACACAATTAGCTGATTGATGGATGAGTCGCACCATCGGCATGGAATTTTTATTTAAAATAAATTATTTTAAATTGTTTAGCACCTGCTTCACATTTGTGCAGCCCATACTGCTGGATAAACTTCCTGCTGCAGCTGATCAACTGTTCTCCGTGCAGAGCGGAGGAGTGGGCGTGGCCAAGAATGCTTGCAGGTGGCAAAGAGCAGAGGAGGCAGAGAGCTGCAATCATGAGATTATGTGCTTTT